CAACGTAACACTGTTAAGGTTTAGGATTGTTTTCCCACAAATAAGGGGTTTAATTTCATTTACAACGAAGCCACCGTTAAAGCGCCTTCTGAAGTGATTCCGACATCGTTGTCCTGTTGGATAACGTGGAAGTGTTTATTACATTTTGCCGTTTTCAGTGAAACGTTGAACACAGACGGTGCTGCAGCCACTGACAACAACGACACAACACAAGACTCAGACGAACAATCGGATGACAATGAAGAAGAGTCGTACCCAGCTCTCGGAGATGCTCTAACACAGCTTGGTTTACCTGAATACGTGGGGCTGTTCGAATCTGAAGAAATGGACATGGAGACGTTTGTAAGTTGATCTTATGACCGTTACTTGTTCTTACTTATCAGATAGCCAGACTAGAGAAGAGTTAATTAAGCAGATTTCTGAGATGGAAGACGAGCGACAACTTTTTCGCTAACTGGAGAAGGCTTAAACCTTTTTTGAGTTACAATGTAGGTTCTTGCAAATTTCAGTGGAACCTGAGTCAGACTTCAAATTTTCGATATTGCAATAGACTTCCATCCTCGCTTCCTGCCGTCAACACACATTTGTATTTCCTAATGGGTATTGATATTTGTCGATTGCTTTTTTTGCGACATGTCGGTTCAGGGAGTTGTATGATCCAAGTTTATTCCGTTTTGTTCGTGGCAGCTGCTGTGTGGCGAGGAGGACATGAAAGAGATGGGAATTCCCATGGGACCGAGAAAGAAATTAATGGGATACCTGAGAAATCAGAAACAAAACATGGTAGGTATTCAGTTTAGTCGTCTCGTCTGTGAATATCATTTTTCGTTTGACTACTGTGTTTGTTATTTTCCTAAAAACAAAATCAGATGCAATTACAGAGTCAATTTACTATGATGGGAAATAGCATAACAGTTAACCAATCACAAACCGAAGCCAAAATATGTGACCAGCTCCAAGCGTGGCAAAAGAAGTTTTGTCGTGTAGTTTTTTGGTTAATGACTGAGAAGTCATACAAAAGTTACATGTTTGTTCTGATTGATTACGTCAGATCGTACTGCAATAGACAATGGCAACACATTGCAGCAGTAGACCAAAACAGTCACTTTGACAGTCAGTAAAAAAGCGCTTAGTTCGGCAAAAACAAGTAAAAATCAGCTGAAAATAAACCCATTACTTTCGTTAGCCTGCGTAGCAGACGTTTTCTTTCATTTCCAGGCGGAGAGATCGAGCAAGCGAGCGAGCAAACGAGCGAGACATGGTTGAGCAAAAAAGGGAAGAAGTTTTGCCTCAGCCTCTCCCCCTTGCTCCTTATTTTTCGCACTCGCTCGCAGTTTCACCTCCTTCGTGTGCTTTTGGAAATGACCGCCTGCTACGCAGACTATACTTTTGGAAGCCATTTCAGATTTGAAAGGTGATATCTTAATGCTGCAGGAAAAAAGAAAGCTCGAAAGAGAAGAGAACAAAAAAGCCAAGGCAGAAGCGAAAGCTAAAGCAAAAGCTGAACTGCAGAAGTTAAAAGAGGCAAGGACAAAAGAACAAACAACTTCTAGTCCTGAAGTGACGTCTTCCACAGTTTTGGCGGCGAAGCCAGATGTAGGAGTCGGTTATTCATTATCTTTAGCTTCCGTAGGCAGCGTGGAAGTCGTTTATCAACAGGGACTGGCTGGAACGGGACAGCCTTACGTGGAATACCCACAGCTGGATCTCAACTTTTACGCTTTGTTTGCATTGGGTTCCCCTATTGGAATGTTTCAAACTGTAAGGTAAGGAAGACTGTGTTGCTTATTAGTAACTAGATATTGTGGCAAGTCGGCGTTACAGTCTGTGGGAAGCACGCTGGCCCAATGGTCAGTGGGCTTGATTCCAAGGTCATTGTATTGTGTTGTTGGGTAAGACACTTCACTTTCACAGTGCCTCTCCATCGTTATCTCGAGGGCGAGGATTAGAAAGAGACAAGACAAATTATACTACCCACGTATCTACCTCTGTGGCGTTTTTAAATGATGTACTAATTTTGGTTTAAAGGGAAGGGAACACTTGATAACACCAGAAGCATATTCTTCTGATAACAATGAAGACTGCACTCCATTGCTCAGCCGCATTTCTGTTCTTTTAACCTTAGTGATTCAATTTAAAAGAAGGGAAGTTACCACAGTTTTTGTCAGTCTGTAGCTACCCGTAAGACTTTGGTAATTAGAGTGGGTTGTTTACGAGCAGTGACTTTTCAAAATAACTTAGCGGTCGATATTTTCTTTTCGCAGAGGTGTCGATGAAATCGGGCTCAACTTTCAGTTCCCAACCTGTCCGCGACTGTTCAATATATTCCACCCGTTTGATCCTGTGGTGAGTGGTAATTTTTGTCGAAATATTAAACTAGCTTTTATAGTCGTTTCGTTCCAGACTTTGACTTCAAACAATTCTTCTTTATAACAGGCATATCGTATCGAACCTCTAGTGAACCCATCAATCCAGGCTGACCCTGTTGTGGTGCCACATCATAAGGGAAGAAAACGAATGCATATAGGTAAGGCTTTGATAACGAGGTAGTCTTGCCCGCATTGGTTATTACTTACATAAATAATGTTGTCGATAGTTTTTTTCGCGAGATCACCAAACAACTCCGGAAAAACACTTGAGAAAATTCGTCGATAATTTTTTTTAAAAAAACGTTGTGAATCACCTGTCATTCATTTTGTTTAGACATACTCGAAATCCACTGTCGGTAACAGCTGTCTTAAAGGGAAATCATTCGACTCTTGGCCATAATGACTGATTGAAAATCTAATTTGGGTTATTGAAGAAAAGTGAAGACTTGAGTGTGAATTAGTATTTTTGTGGAGAGGTTTGTTTGTGATTAACAGTTAGCGACTGCAGCTGAGGGTACCCGACGTTCAAAGAAGTAATTTAACTTGAGTTTGAAAGTTTGAAAAGGTTAGAGGGTTTATATTAAAAAGGTGCTTGAGATCAAGATTTTCTTTCTTCCTCCCATTTCACTCAATTGTGACGAGGAATTATGTAATTCTGGGTACTAAAATGATACGTTTGCTTTTTTCGTTCTTAGAACTCCGTGAGAATCTGACAAGACTGGGCGCTAATCTTAAGCAGAGCCTCATTGAGTCTGCGCGGAAAACGTGGGAGTCAATCAATGAATTTGCGCGAGCTCACTCGACCCAGGGCGCTGACGAGCAAGACGCTGCTGTAGAGGTGGCTACTGAGGCGATAGGTAACATAGAAATTATGAATGAGCTCACCGTGAGGGTCGCCTATTACCTCTCGTAACGAGTTATTTTTGTCATTGGTTCTTGAAAGTGTAGATAACAGGTCTCTGTGTACAACAGCGATTGCAATCGAAGTTTAATGGTGTGACAACCACTCCAACCTCGATTCAGTGAATCAGTGTGGTTTTAACTTAGAAGTCTCTGAATTGAGTTTTGTTGTGTTCGTGGTTAGTACTCTGGGTTAAGCGGTTCGGGTTCGATCCCTGGCCAGGGACATTGTACTTCTCTCCACCCAGGTGTAGTAACGGGTAGCGGCGAATAGTTGGGGCACGAGGAGTAACCTGCGGTGGACTAGCATCCAATCCAGGGAGGAGTAGAAATACTCTTAGTCGCTTCACCATAAAGAAAGCGCAGTTAGGCGGCGAGAGCTTTGAGACAGTTGGCCTTAAGGGGTCTTACTTTTTTTGTGTGTGACTGTTCAAGTCAAAGTTAATGAACAGCGTTTTTGTAAAATTGATTATCACGCTGTGCAAGGTGGTTTCGTGGATGAAATCTACCTATGCTGCGTAACAGCTTTTATTGAAAAATAAAGCTGCTTAGCAGTAAATTTTTTGTGCTAACCTATTGAACAGTGCTTTTATTCGGTGCTGTTTATTGTGCTATACGTAGTGGTTTTAACATGCAAGTATGGATGAATCTTTAGTGCGTGACCGTACATAGACTATGAAACCTCCTGTGGGGTTGTTTGTTTTTTGAAATGGAATTTGGCATTTTTTCCCTTCAGGGTTAAATGTGTCTTTACGAGTGCCGATAAAGACGCTATGTTGGGTACTAAAAATGTCTGCTCTATTCTTCTTTGTAATGCTAGAGTCTCCCCCTGATCCCCCAGCGGAGGTAGTTCAAGTAGGACGACTGAACGGTGGTCAGCGGATTGACTACGTTCTTCAAGAGAAACCAATAGAAAGTTTGAATGAATACCTCTTCGCACTCAGCAGTCACGTCTGCTATTGGTTAGTGACGTCATTTCCTTTGTCTTGATATTCACGATTTTGTCCAACTTCGTTACCACGATCGTCTACCTCAGAGAAATTGGGAAATCGTCCGAACGAGGTTTGTTTCTCGTTCCACAAACCTTCTTTTGCATGCAAACGAAAGAAAACGAGACATTTTGCTTGGTTCGCTTCCTCCGTACTTTTTCGTAGTCCTTTATAAATTCATAGTTTGCATACCGACCAAAATCGCTATTTGGAAAAAGAAACACATTTCCCAAATCTGTGATTACTTATTGTTTTTTGTCAAATCATCTTCGTTTTCTTGCAGGGTCTCCGAAGATACCGCACTCTTCATGTTGAAGGAAATTTACAGAGATTAGCAACAAGATTGAAATAAACTTATCGAGAATTCACGCCCACGTCAAATTCGTACTACCAGTCAAGAAATGATTAAACACGTGTTAGCTCAGTG